TCCTTATCAAATTTGAACCCTCGTTGCGGGAAATTTAACAAGAAACGTCTAACTACTTCATGTGTGATCAAGGAGCTCGTAGCTGTGGCAGAACCGCTTAATCTAATGCCTCCTAGGAATACTTGTCTTCCATTAGACACTGAATACTCAAGGGAGAACACTAAATTACGCAGTTCCGTCAGGCACACCCCATGGGAGAAGCCGAAAATCCACATTTTTCCATCGGGATCCCAAATAAGAGAATAAAGCTTACAACATTTAACCATCTCTTACATCACTTTTAATGCAACATCAGAGTTATGAACAATTTAATTTACAGCGGAATATAAACATGTGATCAAAGTTACAGCAGAAATAAATATCTATTCATGACATAAGGAAGCATTGATATATAAACTATAACAACATATTATAAAACTTCCATTTATAAAAATATTTAGTGAGAGTTATAAATAAAGATTATGATCGCAGCGTAAAGGAATCCCCTCTGAGCCCACCAGGAGGAATCCACACAAGGGTCAGCTCTAGCATCCGTCTGTCACCTGCAACATGTCACCTGCAACAGGGAAAAATAAAACCTTGAGTACTCAATTGTACTCAGCAAGACTTACCCAACAGGAGGAAAGAAAAGATTTCAAGGATATACAAGGCTATCTGGCTTGTGGATTTATTGTATCTGTAGGAAGCATTACTAAACGTGGGTCCTTATATTCAATTTTACTAGCAGTCATCATTAGTTCATTAACTACCATTCTATGTAAGCAATTGTGCTACTTTCAAGTAGGTGGTAAGCAATCAGAATCATTTTACCATCTTTCATCTTCCAGTTCTTACTACGGTGCTAGATTGTAGACAAGTCGTACCGGATCGCCGGCGATTCACGAATCAATGTGCCCAATTGGGTATCCGAAACACGCATACGCTTGTACCCTGGGCACAAACAGGATCAACCCACCACCCTCCTATCACGGGGTCCAAGTCACCGTCCAAACTTGGACTCCAAGCCCCCACTCCTAAGTCCCAGACTCAATGCGGTGCTTAGACCTCCACCGTCCCGCCTCCAATCAGTCGGTCCGGAAAGAGCCGAAACCCATGACAAGAGAGCAATGAGTCTTTCCGCGCCCATACACAAGTATACGTTCAGAATAATAAGTCTGTGACCTGCCTAGAACCCAATGCAACGGTCGGTCCTTAACTGATACAGGCGGAACAAATACAATCAGAGCCTCGCTCGAATGCCAAACCAAGTCTAGATCCAAAGTACCATTCCGCATGGTCTTCAATTATCATTCATATATATTCCAGATGATAATAATATATTAACAACAATAATATATTTTCTATCTCTGGCGAGTGACGGGCAATCACTCGACTTCTACCGGCCCCTGTAGCATTGCAATCTACACGATCCTGTCATACTAGTAAGACTTATAGGATATATATATATATATGCATGCAAGTGGGTTTCATTCAACTCCTTAAAACTTAATGCAAAAAATTAATATAAAGTGCAGAAAAGTAGGGGTTATGCACCGAGACTTGTCTAGGTAACATATAACCAAAAGTTAGTATTCCATCTTGGCGACATGATCTCCAAAAGTACCATCTCACCAGCAACTCCCGATGACTCCGCGATCCATCGACGTCTCTATTATGGCCTATTATGGTATGCAATGCGATGCAGAGATGATGCAACCGTTAATTAACAAGGCAACAATAACTCTTAAAACAGAGTACATACTACGAACTAACAAGATAGCTCTAATGACTAACGTACTAATCTACGTATCAACGTCGTCGAGAAAAGGTTTTATTTCCCAACAAGTGTTTTAGTTATACAATTCTAAGGTGTTTCTTTATTCTATTCTATCGATTTAATCTTTATTCAAAATATGGTATCATTATCTATCTAGCAAACTTATTATTCTGGAGCTACAAAAATTATAGTGAGCAGCTAATAATATTAGGATTTACTGTAAAAATTTTAGGATCAACACTATCACCATTTTCTCACAAAAATTCCCACAAGTTCACATTTTAACAATATTAAACAATTTAAAATAATTAGAGCAACCCTGAAAACGTTTTAAAACTAGATGAACCAAATACGCTAATAGATAGATCATGATTTTAGAAGCCTAACAAAATTAGTTTGACATTTTTGTGATTTTTCTACATTTTATTATTAATTTTCAAGCATTGATGACTTCATTGAAATTAACAAGACACACCGAAAAAGGAAAAAGGTTCCTTGGGCCCAAAGCGGCCAGATCGGCTTCGGTCCGGTGAGCAAAGCGGCCAGGTGGGGGGGATACATGCGCCTTGGTATGGCTGAGCCATGGCCTGCCTGAAAGCACGACCCAATGCGACGCGGGCGTGAGTGGCCAGAGACGGGAGGCGTGACCAAAGACAAGCCCGGCCCGCCTGCAGCAAGAAGCGTGTGGCCAGCAGGCCGGCCAGCGCGGCCTGCCCAAACCGACCTGGCGGTTTTGCAAAAAGGACACTGGATTTACCGTAAACTAACTCGAGGTAAACAACACTATGTGCTACTATTCATATGAGTCATAGTTTTCACACCTAGCCCCCCCGGAAAAACTTATATTTACACTTTCTCACCTTCTCTCCCTCCTCACAAGCAGAGCATGAGCAGGGGGCGGGGCGGCCAGCGGTCCAATCCGGCCGTGAGTTCACCGACGGCGGTGGGGAGACGGCATCACGGCTTTGTCATTGCCGCACACCACTGGTGGACAGCGGCTCGGCCGGAGTTGGGCGTGGAGCCCCGACCATGTCGTCGGCCCAGGCCAAAGTATGTGATGGTAGTGATGGGAGCGACCGCGACACCAATGAAAGCACGAAAAACCACCGCCAGAGGCGCGGCGTGCGGCGCAAGGAGGCGTTTGGGAGGCAGCGCTATGGAGCGCATGAGTCCAGCCAGAGGCCATATGGACTTCATGGCGCACTCGCGCACTCTCTCGAGGGGGGGGCGGCGACGGGCGGGCGGGAGGTGCGGCACGACGTCGACGCCTACGACGACAACGGGCAGCTGCGATCTCTGACCTCCAAAGAGCCAGTGAGCCTTGAGCACGCGCATCGCGGGAGGAGAGGAAGATGAGGTGGGTCAAGGCGTACCAAGCGAGGGAGGAGGGAGAGCAAGCAGCTCGGCATCTTCCTTTAAGGCATTCCCGAGCAAAGACGCGAGGGAGCATGCAAGACATGGCGCCTCTGCGATCGTCCGAGCATGCAATGGCACCAAGCAGAGCAGTCGAGGGAGAGCACGAGCGGGACGAGGTAGTTGAGATGAGCGGCTGAGATCGCTCGCTACAGGTGTACCGATTCACGAACAGAGCGCCAACGACACGGCTCACAGCGCGATCTAAGGAGGTTAGGGCAATTTTTGGAGCAACAACGCAACGTCAAACCATTCCACCAACTATACCATGCTATGGTATCCACAAAGGTGCAATCCATAGTGCTAAAATATGACGCTAGTGTTTAAGAATTTTAATCAAAATTGAAATTCCAATTTAGCATTGTCACACTATTTTCAAACTTGAAAATTGGCCTTGAGTTGAATTTAGTTGAATTTTTAAACGGTCAAAACTTTACCGAAGTTTACCAACAACCATTTCACGACATAGCCCACATTTTATATCAAACAATAGAACCAAAACCTCATGGCGTTATTTAACTATTTTGCATTTTAAAAATCACCAAAAAGTGTACTTTCAACACAACTTCAAATTTTTGTCGATTCAACGAAAAGGGCTAATTTTAATTTCCGATTTGATTTTTGAGCTGGCAAAAACCCTAGTCAACAACATTTGTTTTCTAAAACCCATGTTGCGTTTTCATCTACTTGGCTTGTACTTCAATTTTTATTAAAATCCCAAACACACGTTCTATATTATTATTGCTTTATAAAAATAACTTTTTAGGTCAAACTATTAAATTCCATATAACCAGGCCCGACCCTAGGGGCGGGCGAGAGGGGCGGCCGCCCTGGCCCCCCGAGCCGTAAGGGCCCCCAACCCTGTATGTATACGGTGTAGGTGTGTACTGTGTAGGAGTAGTATTTTGGAGTTTAGCTGAAGTACCGTGAGAGACTGTGGTGGGCGTGATGAGTGTATTGTTGGGAGTGCAACGTGTTGTGCTGTATGAGAGGCCTAAAGGCCAGGAGCGCAACGTGTGCATCAATTCTCTCTCTGTTTTTTTTGCCATGCGGCTGTAGGGATGCTCACTGTAACAGTATGCCTTGTAGGGTATATATGCATTGTGCTAGTTTTCAATTATTAAATGTATATTAAAAATTTCAGCACCTGTCTTCTACTCCCTCGTCCATGAAAGAATGCAATTATAGTATCTGTGTCAGTCAATCAAGCTCAAGTTTGACTAAGATAGTAAATAGTATTAGCATTTATGTCTTTAAATAAATTTATTATAAAAATATATATTTCTATAACTAGTCTAATAACACTTATTTTGTATCATGAATGTTTGTACTTTTTTATATAAATTTAGTCAAAGTTTATGTTGTTTGTACTTATTTTGGGATGGAGGGAGTATGTGACAAGATAAATTTTTTGAGAATAGGTAATGCATGCTAGGTAACTATTCTTAGCTTAGCATCCAAACTAATACAAGTGATAACAGATATACATATGTTATAAGGGCCCTCAATTTTTAGTGTTGCCTGGGCCACCAAAATCTCAGGGCCGGCCCTGCATATAACTAGGGATTAGGTTTTTCATTATCGCATTTGATTAAACTAACTCACTATACTTATAGATCTATTTCTCAGGCCATAATCTCAGTGCTTAGCGAGCTCGTAACACCCGAGGTGTTACAGTAGCCATCCTACATTCCTACAATGCAGCAACAGTAGTTGTTGTACTGTAATATTTTTGTAATCCATATTTACCTTGCAATTCATGTTCTGGTCCATGTGAGTTCTTTCCTCGGGACGGTTTCCCAGCATCCTCCCACAAGAGGGAACTCAGTCTTCATCTTCGCACCAATGGCATACCACAATACTCCGCACGCAAAATTGCCATCCACACCTCAAGTGCTGGTTGTGAAGCCCCAACCCCGAAAAGAAGACCAGCAACCTCCATCTCGCGGTCTGTTCCCATGAACCCACCGAGCCTTATCTCTCCAAGCGAGCTTAGCTGCTGTTGATCTCTCCATGTTTTCCTTTTCCACATGCCGCGGTCAGTGCTTTGCCATGCCTTTTTCATTTCAGTTTCATCGTTACCCTGACATCCGAGGGGGACACAAGTTTCATTGGTCAAATCAAACTAAAATAAAATTACAAAGATATGTGTGAAGTGCTAGTACTAATTTTAGCGTTCCTAAATATACAATTCAACCACAGTTACCATTCACATTACTAGGAATAGAAAAGATAATTTGATAGGTTACGAATAAGAATAAGAAGAAAAATAATAAAAGAGGTGCCTATTTATCATATCTCCCTCCGTTCTAAATTATAAAAATATTTTGGATTTTCTAGATATATTGATTTAACAGAGGGAGTACTATTTTTCAGTAATAGTATTTTCTATTTAAACCTTTTTTATCTTCAAAATGATGGTACAGTTCGTGTTTACATGGTGACCTAAAATGAGGGAACTGTTGAAATTCAGGGAAAAACAACTACATTAAAAATCTTTGAAGGAGATAGATCTCACCACTGCCTAGGCCTAAGCAAACATGTCTTGCATAATATGTTATGAACTATGAAGATGTAGATACTTACTGAAACCATAAAACACTCTGCATTCAACCTTGAGAAAATGTTCAGCTTCAACAGGTCAATGTGAAGTTGTGTTAGGTTGGGGCATCGCCTGAGGAAGGATGAGATAACTGGCGCAATGGGACATCCGGTAAGCTGCAAAAGCGAAAACATCTCCAGGGAGAGTACTCTGATATTAGGAAGGTGTGGTACATGCTTCAACTCCTGCACAGATGAGAAAAAATACCATGAGAAAATACTTGTTCAGAACATGATGAACTTAAACAAGCGCGCGCTGATACCTCTCTGTTTAACATGGGCGGAGACGTGGAGTCTGGGATGTCAATGCGAAGAATGAGATGGTCGGCCCTAGAGCACATCTCCAGTAACCGCACAGCGCTGGCAGACCGGATCTGTTTCCCGGGCAAGTAGAAACGGAGACCACACAGACGCAGGCGCCGGATGCAATGACTGCCATTCAGGTTCAGGAAGCTGAGGTGCTTCGGGAGTGTGCCGGACCAGCTGAAATCCTCAAGTCTCGGCGCCGAGATCTCAACCACGGTGTCCATGGCCCACTGTAAGAAAGACTCGAAGCAGGAGAGAACACCCAGGGTGCGGAGATTGGAGGACGCCACCTGCAGCTTGGTAAAGGTCTCGACTCGATCGACCGCGAGCTCCTCCAGCAGGTCCAAGTGGAGCACGAGCGGCCACAGGGTAAGCCCACCATCTGCAGCCAGGCCCCCACTGACCTTGCTAAGGCGCAGCTTCCTCAGCTGGGGACAGCAAGATGACAGAAACACGCCGAGGGTCGCACGTGTTTCTGCAGCCGCACCATCGAGAGGCTCAGCTCCGTCAACCCGCCTAACCACGTCGGTGCGCCGGGCTCCGGGAGGACAAGCGGGCAGTGCTGGAAGCAGATGCCGCTCAGTCTGAAGGCGATTGACTTGGCTCTCAGGCAGCGTGGGAGAGTCAAGCAGTCCAGGGCTCCTCCCGCGCCGTCACGGAGACAGAGACCGATTCGGTGGCGCGCTCCATGGCGTCGCGGAGCCACGCGGCGGTTGCGGGGCCGAGGTTGGACTCGCAGCCGATGGTCACGTAGAGCGCGGGGATGTCGAGCGCGCCGTACCGCGCGAGCACCTCACGCGCGAAGCCGAGGAACCGGCCCTTGAGGAGGCCGTCGGAGAGGTTGAGGGCGGGGCGTGGGCCCAGGCGGTCCGAAACCGCCTGGAGAGCACGGACGTGCGCACTGCGTCCGCGGCCGGGAGGAAGGAGAGGACGTGCTCGAGGATGCCGTCGGGGAGGTCACTGAGCCGGTCAGCGCCGCCGCCAACTGCAACCTCGCGGTTTCCGGGCATCGCGAATCTCCGGTTGGTGAGCGGGTAAGAGAGGGCGTGTGGCGGACGGAAGGGAAGGAGGCACGGTAGGGTTTCTCCACGCCGGCGACGACGGCAGAGGAGAGCCGGCGCGGCGGGGCCGGGGTTTTGGGTCGCCGGGTTTGGAGGTGGGATTGGGAGGAGCGATGGGGCCGAGCGGACGAGGAGGCTGTGTGGGCTGCATTGGCAAGGATGTTTGGCAGCCATTTGTATAGACCACGTGCTCAAAGGCCAACTTCGGCCCACCAGAGGACCCATTACAACTGGATCGCAGGCCCAACGTTCAGCCCATGGTCCTGCGTTGGTCTGTTGCAACGGTGGAGCAGAGCTCGCCGCCGAATGACTTTTCCGTGGCTCCACGGCGCTGGTGGTAGCGGCCGGCGGCCGGCGGCCGGTACCAATCACTGGACCGTTTCTGGTCGGCCGGAGATCACGCAGGCCGACCGACGGGGACGAGGTGGGCCTTGGCGTACGTCTTCGTCTGCCGTGCTACTGCTAGAGCTACTCCTACTTGCATTGCATCGCATGCATGTACCAGCTGCTGTCTCGCTCGCTCTCGATGAAAAGAGCGAAAGCGTCGCGCAGTGAGAGCCTGCGCGGTGGTGAGCGTGAACCCAACATCGGGGTCCTGATCCAGCATTGGGAGCCCACTCGCCGGCGACCACCCTACCCCGGAGGACGCCGTCGCTGTCTGTCTCTGCACTGCTCGATGATCGCCCAAGCCCCGCTTACACCGATGCCGGGTACGTTAACAGCGACCGTAAAGTAAATGGGGGAACTTTGTTAAAAGTAGTGATTTCTTTGAAGCCTCCCCGAACGATGTGATGCAAAACAGAGATAAATACTAGTAATAGAAATTATGAAAACAAAAGATTTATAAAATATTCAGCCATTAACTCTGTGGACCCTCACCATCACTAGTTCTATCAAATCGTGCTCTTCTGTTGTTATTAAGAAAGAAAAATAATCTTGTTCCACTGTCGCCCCTCTCCTCTCCACGCCCACATCGTGTGCTTGTCCTCCATCCCTCTGAACCTTAACCCACAACTAAAACTCTATGAAAGATAGGCCCAACTACCATCAACTGGACGTGGCCTAAAATCTTGCAATTTCATTTCAGGCACCTGAAATGTTGGAGGCCGTGAATAAGATATGAACAAATGAGAGACTGCAGATAAATAATTTTGATTAGTTTTCAGCCAGCACTAAAAAATTACTAGCCCGCGTCATACTGATCACCAGCGATTACTACTGTGGCTACCTTTTGCAGTTGCAATTGGTCAACTGAACATTCAATGATAGTATAATGAGTACAGCCCATTCTGTTTTCTGCCCGATGCCTCAGGCTTTGCTCACAACACAAGCAAGAAGCAGTGGTGAGTGGTAAACATATCGAGGTGATTCCAAAGCATTGTTTACTGCTATGTGCGCCCCATGGCCCTGTGTTCCGTTTGACCTGACGAGCACCAAGTACAGACAAATGTGTTTGATTCTCGGTTCAGACACAAGGACACCCACAGGCAGCAGGCAGGAATGCAAGTGCAGGCCAGGCCATCAGCATTAATTAGTGCATAATGGTCAAGAATCCCACTGACAGCGGTTTGGGGACGCTAATTCCGATGTCAACCTGCATGGGCACGCACGGATAGGCCACGGTTTACGTCACCCGCAGGCTTGTGTGGCTGATGAGAATCTCAAAGCCACTAGCAAGTATAGGAGTGGTAACAGTGCAATACAGCTACTTCGACGCTCCGGCGGTCGGCGGAACAACGCTTCCGGACAGCCGGAGTGCCCTCTGCTGCTGCATGCTACCTATGCCCATGCTTGATGCGTGTCCCCTTCTTCTCTGCTGCTGATCAGAACCCCACGCAAATTTACTTTTTTTTATCCTTTGCCATTTGGCCAAGCAATATTATTTCTTTGGTAGTTTAGTGTGCGATTGATTTGGAGCAGCGTTGGAAAACTGGGGTGTGGGGGCAAATTCGCAAGTGTAGTGTGCAATTGATTGTTTTCTTTGGTTTCTTTATTTGGGTTCCTGCAGCGTTATTTTAGACTTTAGTCCTTCATAAATCTTGTAAATCTGGCACTTGGGGTCAATACTTCTTGTTGGAAGCAAAAGAACTGTGTATGTATAATCGATTCCATACAGCAGGCCTCCATCTGAATAATTGACAGGTGACACTGCTTCATAGCCATGCTATGTTGTTATTTATACCTGCAGGTTGCAGCAGCCTACTGAATTGCTTTTGACTGATCAGTGCTCTGCTCAAAGACAAGATTATGGGCACGTTTGGATGAGTTAGGGCTAGTTACTAGTTGGATTAAAAAATAGGTCAATTTAGCTGAGCTTGGCTAAAAAATTAGCCCACCTATATACCCTTATGTTTAAATGTACTACGATTAATTTTTAGTTAGCTAGTAATTAGTTCTTGTATTGAAACATGCCCTATGTAACAAGTTCTATTAAGCTATGCAGTTGTAGCATCTAGTAGTTTTGAAACGGATCTAGTACCATCAAATTTGTGTCATAGAAATTATAGACTCCTCTCCGATCCGATCCAGTTTCTAAAGCGTGCGAACACGCAGACCAAAAATTTAGTCAACAGTTTTTAACGATTGTAACAAAAAATTAATGCAGTTAGATTTGCAACCAAATATATACTATCCAATAATTATAAATAATATAGAATATATAAATGACCTTGCTATCTCAAACCTGCCTTATAAACTAGACAGGAGGAGTAACTTAGAAATCATTAGTCAAAGGCTTGTGCTAGTGAATCAAAACACACCTTATACCCCGAGGGAGTACTATGGTAACACTATTACACTAACACATCGAGTGATTCCAAAACGCATGCTGCTATACTGCCTGAGGTTTGACCTTTTGAGAGCGAACAAGGACAGACAAATATGTGTTTGCTTCACTATCAGTTCATCTTCATCAACTTCACTATCAGTTCATCTTCATGATACACATGGACACCACAGGGAATATAGGCAGGACAGGACAGACAGCAGTATATACTAACTGCAACAGGAAGACATTGCTAGCACTGCTGCTACCTGCAACATTGTAGATCTCTCCCGTTTAGATTAGCTTAAACTAATAAGATCCGTTAAACAATCTTACTGACAGTGCTTTGCGGCGCGTATTCCGGGGCGTCGCCTACATACATGGGCACGCACGGATGGTCCACCGTTTAGTGCCCTGTTCGCTTGGCTGATAAGCCATAGCTGAAAGTACTGTTGGCTAATTTATTATGAGAGAAAAATACTATTCGTTAGCTGAAAAAATATGGGTTATAAACCAAACGAACAGCCTCGGCAAGCTTTTGAGAACCTCAAAACCCACTCATGCCGTACCGGCACTGCTTCCGTGCTTCTCCAGTGGACCAATGCTGCAGTGCAGCTTGCAACCTGTGCCCATGCTTTGGTGTTGTGCCTTTCTGCTCCGGCTCCAGAACCCCAGGCCAGGCAAGCAATGTTCCATTGTTTTGATCTTGCTCCCTTCCCAAGCAAGCAAATTTTGGTCCCTTTTGGGGTCCTTCAAAACCTGCCCTAAGATGCTCCCTGACCACAATATATAGCTAAGATAAGCGTGGCCCTTGGGCCTTGGAGTAGAATAGAAATAGCGTTTGACTTCGGAATCTGGTTCAGTAGCCACTCACAAGTTAGTGTTAGGTTATGTGTGTAATTCATTGTTTTCTTGGTCAGTTTCATTGGGATTCTTGAAGCGCTCTTCTTCTCCGCAGTAACCTTGGTATTTAAAAATTGGAAACTTCCATACTCACCGTCCATGAACAGGTTGGTGAGTGCTGAAACCGTCAGAGAAAATTAACTGGAGACTGCTAATTAAGTGCTAACGGCTTCATGTGTTAGTCTTGCCTATCTGCAGCATGCTGCTGTTCTAATCGCTTTTGTTTGACTGGGTGCTCTGATCCTCACAGACACAGCGTTGGAAAGTAATTAATCCAACTGAAACTAGCCTGCACCCATATATAGCAGCAATTCAGAGTATAAGCTGGTATCTGAATGACTGAATTATTGTAGTTACTTTAACAAAGATGCCCTTGCGTGGTGTGCATATCCCCACACTTGACAATATGATGAGTATGTTGGCCCATAGTTAGCCTCCCGACCACCGAGATGATCTCCAGACCACTACAGATAGCCTCCAGACCACTCCGTTGGTCTCACAGGATCACCGGCTCACGACAGTGAACCACTCCAGCCGATCTTGCCGACCACCGGCTCAGGTGAGTGGAGCACTTGTCGGTCTCGTCGAGCACGCGCTAGTGTTGCCGAGCACCCACTAGCCGTGCAGACCACGTACCAGCGTTGTCCGTACCCACACACTACGGATCGAGCTAGAAGAGGAAGGGAGAACAGAGCAAGCACGCACAATACAAAGGCAGCGGCGTTGGCGAAGCCCCGTACGTGTGATGGCAAATCTGAGCTCTCTTTCTTGAGTTGCCATACATGTCTATTTATACAACTCTAACTATCTAGTCCATGTGCGGCGTCCATGCCGCACGATAACTAGATAACCCTTTGTGGTCGACTTCTGCGGCCATCACTTTGCACATTGTTCCTCTGATCTTTGTAGGTGAGCCGTCGGCGGCGCTTTGCACCTGCCCGAATCTTGTATCACGGCGAGGGGGCAAAGTCGGCGCCGCCTTCCCTTCTTTGTGTTCACACACAATGAGCGACTAAGTCGGCGCCGCCTTCCTCTCTGCTTGTGTTCTCACAAGGTGGCGATGAGATTAGCTAACAATCTTCCCTAATCCTCTTCGCTAACCCTTGTAACCCCTCCATGCCGATCATCTCCTTCACTCCGTGAGTCGAAGTCTTCCGAAAGCGGCTTGGTGAGGACGTCCGCGAGTTGCCGACCGGTTCGACAAACTCGATGACGATCATCCTCCATCAACACAGATCCACGAGGAAGTGGAACTTCACGTCGATGTGTTTACTCGGTCGTG